TCGGATTGGCTTGTATACGGAGTATATACGGTACTTGAGCAAATCTACCTGAATTGTAAATTCTTTTCAAACTGCTCTGTAGTTTTTCTGACATAATTAAAATTAATTCTAAAGAGAAAAATATGTTGTTAGCCTTGAAGACTTGTAATTAAAGCGAGTGGGGCAGAGAGAAGCCAAGGGAGAGACAGAAAACAGTAAAGAAGGCTCTTTGTTTCTTCAGTGGGGAAGACATTTCAGGAAAAGGCTTTACTTAATCCGACACAGAACTCAGTCTCTAAGGACAAGTTAACAGGCAACAGTGGACCTCTGGACCTCATTAGGGAGATCAAAGAATGGTCTGGTAAGGCAATGGAATTTAAAGCATTCTTGAAAAGTAGAGAGGATTTAGAAGAGGAAGATAAGGAAAGAGAAGTGTAGGTATATTAAAAAAAAAAAAAAAACAACCACAAAAGAAACCCTATTTCCATCAAGTCAATTCCAACTCACATCTGTAAATCTTTTTTTTCCCCTTCCCCTTCACAACAATGCATCTTTCATTTGCATCTTTATAGCGGCATGTGGATTCATCTTTTTTTCACAGCACTTCCGGTGGGTTTGAACCAATAACCTTGCCATTTGAAGTCTAACACTTATTCAGCGCCAACACTGGGGCTCCTTGCAGTGATACAAAGTGGTGATGACCACAGAAAGGGAAGCTGACAAACGATGTGCATCCTTCATGACTGACATTCAGGCCACCCTTCCCTAAGGTCTCCAGAGTCTCGACACTTGCCCCCAACCTACTGATTCAGAATCTGCAGTTGGAGATCCCCAGGTGACAGATACGCACATTCGACTGCGAGACGCACTGCTCGAGAGCATATTGCTGGCTCTCCCAGTTAGCTGAACAGTGGTCGTCCAGAGTGATTTTTAAAATGTTTCCTGAGAAACCTTTGTCTTGGCTTAAATGTTTCCTGAGACTCATCCCAGAAATGCTGGGTAAATTGATATGCACTGTGGCATTGGACTTTTTTAGAGTTTCCCCAGATATTGGAATTTTTAGTTTCCCCAGATAATTCTAATGTACACCCAAGTTTGAACCTTCGGAGAATGTAAAATACCTTTTCTAAACAGAGTAGTCATTAACCCTTAAAGAGCAGCACTGCAAGGATCTTCAGATGTCAAGCTAAAAAAATAGGACGTTAGTTGGTCAGCCACAAAAGATTTCTGGCCAGAAAAGCACAGGTATAAAATAAGACATTAGAACATTTTTAAAATATCAATAGCGAGACTAAGAGGAGAAAGGTAGAAAACGAGGATACCATGTTGTTTTGTTACATGCCCGCGAGGGGTCTGATTCATAGTAACTTGTGGAGAACTAAACAAAATACTGTCTTGTGTAGCCACTGTTTCAGTCTGTCTCTGAGGTCACCCTTCTGTGTCATGGACCCTCTACAGCAGCGGTTCCCACCCTGTGGGTCACGACCTCTTTAGGGGTCAAATGACCCTGTCACAGGGGTCACCCAATTCACCACAGTAGCAAAATGACAGTTATGAGAGAGCGATGAACATCATTTTATGGTTGGGGGAGTTGAGAACCACGCTCTACAAGGTGTGGTGTCCTTCTCCAGAGGGGGCTCACAGGTGCCAGCTCCAAAGTGAGGCCCCGCCACCCTCGCTCTTCAGAGCACACTGGCTGCGCTTTCTTTCCAGGGAAATCGGTCTGTTCTTCTGGCAGTCACAGCACTTCCCAGGATCACCCCACTTCTTTCTGACTTCCTATTCACCGAACAGCTTTGAAAGGCATACGAGGCCATTAAAAATACCAGGGCTTGGGTCATATGTACCTTAGTTTTCAAAGTAGTATCTTTGCTTTTTAACACTTTAAGGAGATCTTTTGGAGCAGATTTTTCCAATGTGCAATGTCATTTGATTTCCTGACTGTTTCTATGGGCACTGATTATGGTTCCAAGCAAAATGAAATCCTTGACTTCAGTCTTTTGTTATGTCACAAGCCAGTTTGTGTCACCTGATTGTTAGCGAGTGCCCCCCCCCCCCCAATCCTGGTGCCATATTCTTCACTTTGTCCAAGTTCTTAGAGCATAGAATTATACTCAGCATCGAGATTAAGTAAGTGTGGTGAAAGGCCACAACCCTGATCCCTATCTGTTCTCATTTTAAATGGGCAGTAGGCCCTTGTTCTGTTCAAACGACTGCCTTTGGGTCTCTAAGTTCCATGGAGCACAATTAAGTCGTCTGCAATTCCCATTCTTCACAGTGCTAGCTATAATGTTATGATCCACACTGCTGAATGCTTTTGCATAACTAACAAAACCCAGGTGGGCATCTTTCTAATACTCTTTACAGGAGGCCAAGATCCATCTTACATTAACAGCAATGTTCCTCAATCCACTTCAAGATAGATAACAAATATTCTTTTTAATAATTCTAACAGTGTCTTTCCTCCTCAATTTGTCAGTTTCTCAGATGTAGCTCTTATGATTGCTTCGTTCAAAATAGATAAGACCAGTCTGTTGACGCTCACTAATGCCAGGAATTAGCGATCTTTGTGTGTTCTGTTCAGTTTTGACAACTTCCAGAGTTCTTAGACTCACACTTGGCGCATTCCATGTGCTGATTATTAATGGCTGCTTGCAGCCATTCTCACTTTTGCCTCGTGCCACATTGGCAAAATTCATTTCCTAACGGAACTTATCTTTGTAAATCAAAAATAATTCTTTAACCACTAGACTATAATCTTTAAAAGAATTAGTATTGCCCAAATAGGTTTTCTAAACTGGTTTTGGCGTTGTTGTGGTTTTGGGGGCTTTTTTTGCCTTGATAGGCATGCAAAACCCAAAGGCATACAGATTCCAGAATGAGAATGCTCTATCTCTTACCTATTATCCAAACCTACAAAGGAAAAATGTTTCAAAATGCTGTATCTGAAGGTCATCTTGAGAGCTCCTGCCCCCACATTTCCCATCAGATGGCGCTCTCCTCACAGGAGATGCAAAGTGGCACTGTTTCATAAATATGCGTTGCTCAGCGGAGGCACCCCTCTTCCTGGGCCACGCACTACGTGGTATCAAAGCTTTTTACTCAACCACGTGGCCTGCCTGCACTCAGTGTGATTGGGGCCCACGTACCCTAATATTACATGACTGAGAAGATTTATTTGGATAATAAGAGGTGAACTCTTATCTTTCTTTTTAAACATCGTCCAAATTGTATTCACCCAAATATAAACAAACATAAAAACACGTTAAAGAATTTTAGAAATGTATCCCTATTTTTAGAAAGATGATGTTTACCTGCATTGAGGTGATAAGAGGAATTACTTCCCTCTTATTGAAAATTAACCTAGAAAGTTGGATTGGACTTTAGAAGAGATAGAGCAAAATTATGAGAGTTCAGCTGAATTGTAGTGATGAACGCCCATCTATAGAGATTCACTAGAAGTTATTAGCCTGCGTATTTACAACAGGTGAATTGTGTGGGTCATAAATTACCTCTCCATAAAGCTATAAAAGAGGGCGTTTCAGAATGGATAGATTGTGATGGGAGATGTAAGAGCCCCCAGTAAAAGTTTTTTTAAAAAAGAGGAGTTTCAAAAGGAGGGGGACAAACTCTTCCTTAGTACCCTGGTGATATTATCATGGGGCTATCTAAGGAGACTGGTGCCTGGAAGATGAGGATTAAATGGTAAGAGAGGTGAGAAACCCCTGATCTTGTTTGCCCCCCTCTGGGACATGACCTGCCCAGATGAGATGAGCCTGTAAGTCAGTAGCACTTCCAATTTTAAAAGGGGAATCAGGACCAGGGTGATGCAGGCAGAGGAAGTGCGGCACATCATGTTGATGTAAGTCCTGGGGTGATGGGTCTTGTCTGTGGTAAACACTCTCAAGGTCCCTGGGAGCACCCCTGGGTCCCAGTAGACACAGAATTCTAGCATTGCTCTTATACCCGAAAAACAGTCTGTACCTTACATGTAAGTCCAATAACGTTCCGAAAACTGTTCTTGCCTTATTAATTTTTTTTCTATAGGGGTTTGGTCTCAACCATTCCAGGCATGCCCCAGCCTTTTAATGAGAAGGAATATAGAAGTGGATGTATGTCTGCAGAACTTTGGGGGGAAAGGAATTCATCCCAAGAACTAAACTCCCCTCCCCCCTCAAAAAAAAACCCCTCCCTGCTGTCCAGTCAGCTCTGACTCATAGAGACCCATCCCAAGAACAGTGCTGCAAAACAGCTCGCGAGTCCCGTGCAAAGGAAGGCTCATTTGTTTTGACCCATGAGGCCAGGCTGGTGCTTTGCACAAGCATCGACTGGGAAGGGAAGGGAAAGGAAGGTTTCTCCGTGGAAGGCTTCATAAAAGACTTCCAATAAAGTGAACTTCGTTTGCGGGTGACTAATGGTGAGCCGGAAAAGCCAGGACTGCTTGGCAATGGTGGGAAAATTTTCATTTGCACGTGGAAACACTTTTTCTTAGACATGGAACAATAGCAGTGTTTGTGAAATGTTGTATTAATATGACCCATACAAGAAGCACTGAGAGATATTCTCTAGACCCTGTGTCCAGCCCTTTGTGCCCAGGAGAACCACAGACCAAGATAGTTCGATGTTGTCAGCAATTTCCCCAAGGGGATCTCCCAGCCTTCTCGTGGTATGGATCCCAAGGCTTGGGAGTGGTTTCCCGGTATACTGGAGTGACTCGCTTTCTAGGCACACAAAAAGGCCCTCCGGAAGAGCGCTTTCTCCTTTGAGCCCTTCAAGCACGAAGGCAATGAGCAGTGCTCTGGTGAGGTCGCGGGTCACCTGTACAGTCACCACCCTCCAAGAGCTGGCTGGTGCACCTCAAGGTCTTGTTCTCAGAGGTCATGCGTCACCAGCTAGCGTGGGCTAACAGCCTCGGGTCACACCACCCCATTAGGAAATAGAAGAATGCTGAGGTAAGGTCTCATAATTAAAAGAAAAAAAGAAAGGGCTAAACTGCCTATCTATTGTCTCTTTTTCCACAGGCTCGTGTTTTTACTGCCAGTATTGAGAAATCCATGGGAGAACTGTCAACAGGAAGGAGAAGTTCATGGAGAAGGGTGTGTGTGTGTGTGCGCGATTTTCACACATTTACGGCATGATTTTTTTTCTTTTTAATGCAAAGACAAAAAACAAAACAAAAAAAGAAGAAGAAGAAGAAGACAAACACCCACCATTTTAATTTAGCATGAGCCAATTTACAGAGCATGAAAACTCACTTTCATTCCCAGGATTGGCACGTGTGCAATTAGCAATGCAGTGTATATACAAGAAGCCATGCTGTTAACTGTTGATCTCAAGTAATTTGGTGTCATTAACAAAAGGAAGGAATTCCTGCCGCGGGAAGGGTCGAGAGGAGATGAAATGACCAAATCTTGGAGGGACACTAAAATTACTAAATCCACAACAGCTCGCCTTATTTTTCTTGGACCCAAACTGTCAGGGTATAAAACACTATTTGTTTCTTTTTTAAAACACCAATAGTTTTGCTGTAAATAATAACACTGTATAAATTCTAACAGGAAAAAAATAGAATTAACGTTGATAAGGCACTGCCTCTTAGAACATCAACAGAATATTGCAAATGCGTTTAACACAATAGGGATCTCAAGTGACTTCACCCTAGAGGAGAGAGGGGAGGGATTTGGGGGTGGGAGGCCAGGGATGGGGGATCCTCACTGATTCATGTATATTAGCAATTATAATGTTTGTATATGCAAAACCGCTAGCTTGATTTAAAAAAAAAAAAAAAGCAAAACTTTAAAATCTGCTGCAAATTTAAATAATTCCCCAAACGAGGAATTCTGTAGTCCTGTGAAAATTTTTCTTCAGAATACTAATATTTTGATGCATGTGCACCACCTTATTTTGATGAAATCTTTTCCAATTTTGCAAACACGACAGTATACTGCAACACAGAGGATTTTATCTGTAAACATGAAGCCCTTCATCTAATATTTGTTGCTGTTGCCAATTTTTCAATGAAATGACCTAAAAAGGGGGGAAAAAAATAACCTAAAACAGTAGTTGCTTTAGGGGGAGGGGGGATGCTAATGGTTAGTGCTTAAAAGGGGGTACTGCTTGCCGCTTTCGAGGTGGATGGTGCTCATACGAGGCCTCGTTTGGGGGTATTTAAACTGAACCGAAGCACTTAGCCTGTAGAATGGCAGCACGCTGTAAAATTATGACTGTATCGTGTACTGGCTCTAAGACGTAGACACCTTTCGGTAAGCCAATCATTTGTAAGCATTCTAGCAATGTCATATTAGGTTAATAAGGCTGCTGTGTTTCAAAGGGCATTTTTATTTGGGTTTTGGTGAAATTCTTTAATTTGTTGATTATATTCATATAAAATCAGCATTCATTGACACATAGCTCTAATGACATATGTATGAAAAAAAACCACACACTGGATGACCTAGATGATTATTTAACATAAAATAAATTGTGTTAAACTCCTCGCCTGTCTGTGCTCCGCCGTGTCTGTGTCCTGTGTTCTCGGGGAAAGGTAAGAGTCTAACTCCCTAGCAGTCTTCCCTCCAGGTTCTCTTTTCCCCCCTCTGTCACTGAACGGGGAGAGTCATCCCCAGTCCGGTCCTCCCCCCAAAAACTCCCAACACCCACAGATTTGACGCCTTTCCTGGAGAAGCCAAAAGCTAAAGATTTAACGGGTAACTAACCTTTGTTAGCCTCCGGTTCAGGCTCCCCCACCAACCCTGGGGATCGGGGCACTCTACCTGCTTGCCTTCTTCTCCAGCCTGCAGTTGTGTTTAACCCCCACACTACATCTCTGTTTTGTTTTATTGGACATTCCCTATAAGTGCGTACAACCTAGATTCCACACGGTAACTTTCTAACTTCTCTTGGAAAGCAAGCTTTTGGCACCAACAGGCCATCTTCCCCCAAGGCAGCTACCCGCCGGAGCTGTCTTGTCAGCACTACCCTCTCCAAAAGCCACAGTCCCAGCTACACGTCCTGACTTCCGGATGAGCCTGGAAGGCCTGACGGGTTGCAAGATGATAAGGACTGTAATGGCCCACCCGCACACTGCCATCGAGTCGATGCTGACTCACAGCCCCCTTCTGGACAGGGCAGAACTGGCCCTTTGAGTTTCTGAAACTGTTTACCAGAGTGTAAAGCACCATCACTCCCAAGGAGCTGCTGGTGATTTCAAACAGCTGACCTGGTGGAGTGCATGCAGCTCAATGCGTAACCCCTGCGCTACTGGGCTCTGGGAGGCTCTATTACAGGATAAGAAATAACAGTTGTCCACTCGACTGCTAATCAGAAAGGTGGTGGTTCAAACCCATCCATTGGCCTGTGGAAGAAAGGCCTGGTGAACTGTTCCTGTAAAGATTACAGCCTAGAGAATCCAGTTGGACAGTTCTGTCACCTGGCGTCACTAGGATCAAAGTTGAGCCCATGGCATCGAGCAGCACTAGCGGTGCGCTGGATGACAAGGTCCTCATGGCAGCGCCCCGGCTGTTTTCATTCTCCCTCTCATTATTGGCTCCCATCACCCTCAAGACTTCCCGTGCAGGTGCAGGTGCTGCCGTTTCAGGTGCTGTCCGCAAATATATTAAATGAGTGCTTAGAGCCATTCGACAGTGTCATGTATTCCTTGTCCATGAGACACTGTTCATAATGAAATGAGTTCCCCCTAAGGATTCAACATCCATACAGAAAACCTGTATGGAGCGCCTACTCTGCATAAAGATTGGGGCTAGGTGGCACTTGCATGGCGCCCCAGATAAATGGAAGGCACCGTTACCCTCACATCTAAATTATGTTACACACGAACTCAGGTGATACCCACGGATGATTAAATAACTCTTGCCGCAAAAGCCCCTTGGTCAAACAAGGATCGAAGTAAGGTTTCCCAATTTCCCATCTGAGAGTTGGGAAGCTCTGACTCTCAGTCCTTCACACTTAAGAGCATTTATGCTGAACTGGAAACTCAGCAATATGTTCTTTGTCTACATGCTAAGAAGGGGATTTTCTGTATTGTTTATATACCTAAAAACTTGATTTGAGGCATAAACTGAGGTAAGTGATGGGGCTAAGCCTGCGCTTAATCAAAAGTTCATAAACCTCTAAAACAAATATCCAAAAGGTGAACCAGGATCTTAAATGTGCAAATAGAATGAATGTTATATATTCCTAGCATGGTCTTTAGATTGCCTGCTTATAAGCATGTATATGTGTATTTAAGCGTTTCCTTGATTGAATTGTTAAAAAAAAAAAAAGGTGACTGACAGATTCCTGATATTTGCTGTTTTCCAACTTTATAGTTTTGCCAAATTCTTACGCTTGCAACATTAAAATGCCTTATTACTCTGGCACTGCCTGATTATGGAAAATACACTGTGTGGCATTATCTCGCCGTTTCTAGAAGGGGAGCTACTTCTCCACCAAAAACACACCAGCCAATCTTCTCCTGCTGCTGCCAGGTCCTCCTCCCCACCTGGTGCGTTTGACGGTCCCCTGGGCTTCACCACGCTGAGGTTGGTATTCAGGGCAAAGCCAGTTGCTTGCTCGCTTGATGGACATCAGGTCTCTCTTGGCTGGACCACAGGCAACGAGAGAAGCCCAGAAGTGAATCCTCCAAGTGGTATCCACTTACGCTCCAGCGTCTCTGAAGAAGCCAATAATCCAAAGGCGTTTCTAATATTTGAGACTGGAGCCCAAACTGGCAAGGCTGCTTTAAAATAGTAAAAGACGCAAGGTGGTGGTGTGATTTATTTAAAACACAAAAACAGTGGACTGATTACGCCCAGTTATCTTGCTGCTTTAATTAAATGAAGATACGAGTAGTTCAGAAGAAGATAAAGTGAACTTGATCATACATGCCACTTTCAGGGACTGACAGCTAGGTTAGTATGTTCAACTCACTTGAACCGACAGGGAAGACGTATTGTTTATCCCTCCCGAAACGGAATTCACTGCCAGCCAGTCGATGCCAACTCATCGCGACCACAGAGGGCAGGGCAGAAGTGCCCCTGTGAGTTTCTGAGGCTGTAACGGTTTACGGGAGGAGAAAGCCCCGTTTTCCCCCTGAGCAGCAGCTGGTGGTTTCGAACTTCAGACCTGCCAGATTGCAGCCCAATGTGTAACCACTGTGCACCAGGGCTCCCTTAGTGACTCCTAGATGAGACAGTAAAAACTATGAGGGTTGTGTTTCCAACGAGACATCCTAGGATTCCATTCCTGCTCCAGAGGGATTCCGATACAAAGTTGAGCTGAATGTGCTTCTTGGTGATTGTTCTATCTTCCTGCCATCGAATCAGTTCTGACTCACAACAACCCTTGACATAACTGAATGAGAATCACACTCACTCCCATGGAGTCAAGGCTGACTCACAGCCACCCCTAGTTTTTATGCCTGGCAGCTGCTGGTGGTTCCAAACTGCACCATGCAGGTTGCAGCCCAACACATTACCATTACACCACCAGGGAGAAAGGCGACCCTTCTGTGCCTTCCTCCTGTTGCGCTTGAACCCATCTCATCAAGGGTCTTCCCCCTTTTCAACCATGCTTTACCGCGCGCAGGGTGTCCTGCTTCAGGAACTGGTCTCTCCTGAAATATGCCCAAAGGACACGAGACCCAGTCTTGCCGTCCCCGCTTCTACAGCCTCCGCAAACCCCGGCTGTGCTTAGAGGATGTAAGAGGCAGCCAGAAGCACCACCAGACCACTGGAAGGCCACCAGCAGCAAGAAGTGTTGGGATATTTCTCCTAGGTCCTCCTTGCAACTTCCAGAAAAGCAGTGGGTCTCCTGAATGTCCCCCAACACCCTCAGTCACAACTTCTCTTCCACTCGTCCAGCAGTAACACCATCCTGAGAGTGGAGAGGAAGAAGGCTGGGCTGCGTGTTCTTCAAAAGCATCCCATGCCGACCACACACGCCCTGCGGGCAGGGCCTTGACTTTGTTCCCTGTCCTATCCACAGCACCTAGTCCTAGAAGGATGCCCGATGCTCTGAAGGTGCTCTATACACATTGCAAATATGAATGAATCAAGAAACATCCGGGGGGAGGGGGCAATGAATGTACAAATGTGCTTTACACAATTGATGGATGTATGGCTTGTGATAAGAGTTGTATGAGCCCCCAATAAAATGATTAAAAGAGAAAGAAAAGAAACATCCGAAGGGGGAAAGTGGGAGACTTTGCTCTGTGCACCCGAATGTGCACAGTGGTTCTCAGGCTCAGCCGATGGAAGGAGAGCAGCCGCGCTCCGTGTTCCCTTGCCTTCTGTCATCTGGGACAGACTTGGAGGCTGCACAAACCTCCTGGCAGCCACACAGTTCTCCTTGGAGGGATGTGCTGCTAACGGTCGCCCCGTGACTGCAAAGTGCCCTGGAGTCCCCTCTGGCCCCCGCGACCCTCTGAAGAAGAAACAGCCCAGTCCTGCACCGCCGTCAGTCACGGCCATGGTTCAGACCCTGCATGCGGGCGGGCACCGCGTCCGTGCCTCTGCAAGGGTCTCCGTCTTTTTTGCTGGCCCTCTACCCCATCAAGCATGCCTGCATGCCAGTGGGCACCACGTCCGTGCCTCTCTGCAAGCGCATCCGTCTTTTTTGCTGGCCCTCTACCCCATCAAGCATGCCGTCCTTCCCCAGGAACTGGTCCCTGCTGATCACATGCTCAGGGACTTAAGGCAAAGTCTTGCCGTCCGTCCTGCGCAGGCGCATTCTGGCTGCACTCCCAACACGGTCCTGCATTCTTCTGCCATGCATGGCGTGTTTACGCTCCGTCACCACCACCAGTCAAATGCGTGAATGCTGCAGGTTCTCTCCCTCTCTGGGTGGCTTGGCCGTGCGTAAGAGGTGCTTGAAAATGTACCTCTTGAAAACGTGCCGGTGCCCGTCAGCCCTACTTCCATGATCCAATCTGGGAAATAAAACGCTCAAGGATCTGGATATTCTAAGAAGGTCATCTTATATACAGGAGGGAGGCGAAGCAGGTAGCCCAGAACTGCTAGAGCCAAGGGACTGCACAAAACATTGGCTTCCCTGGTGGCCCTGCGCAATCCCTACCATTTACCACCAACCGCATCCAGATCCCACAGCAGCAAGCACTTGCCTGCCAGCCGTCCTGCCCCTCCTTTTCCGCCCCGCCTTTCCTGCTGCTGCGCCTCCCAACTGCTCGCACTGGGGCATACTGCAGCCTCCAACCCAGTGGGATGTGCAGGGCCTCTGGACAGCAGCCTTGACTGCGTACCCTTTGTTGACCCCTCCACCACCTATAATGGTTGGCTGGGAGGAGCCCTGGGGGACCCCCTCCCCCTGCCGCCTGCAGACATCGACTGAAGCAGAGCTCAGGACCAGTTAGAGATGGACTACGGTACTTAGCAAAAACATGGCGTCTAACTCCAGTTCTCTCCCAGGAATTGCTAAACTATAGATAGCCTTAAGGAACCACAGAGGGACGTGCCCTCTGGCAGTGCCCAAATGGCAGCA